CTACATAAATTCTGGTAGGATTTCTACTGTGCAACCGTATTAGCTTTTCTGCTGTGGTCGCATCTGCACCTCTTTTGGTTGCCTAACACAGAGCAAATTACACGCAAATTACACTGAGTATGCAACCATTTTGCAACTCCTTTGCCTCGTCACGAGAGGTGCATTTTCCTCGTCACGAGAGGTGCATTTTTTTGCTCACAAAATAAGAAACCAACGCTCACTCGCATGCGAGTACCGGTTCAAGCAAAACCCCAAGCAAGAACAAAGCAAGAAGGAAATACTGCAACAAGAACAAGCAAATACTGGTGTAAGTATCGACTGTAGCTACTAAGTATCGAAAAACAGCAGCACAAGAGTATCCTCGCAGCCCCGTCGACTCACCAGAGGTGCATTTTTTTGCATAACAGCAACGCTCCTTGCATACGAGTATCGCATACGAGTATCGCATACGAGTATTGCATACGAGTATCGCATACGTGTATCGCATACGAGTACTACTAGTAGTAGTATCGCATACGAGTACCGGTTCAAGCAAAACCCCAAACACACCACCCAGCAGCACAACAAGCAATGGTAACAGCTCAACAGGAGGCACAGCGTCGTCATCCCCGGGCTCGGAAAAGAAGGGGGGGGACTGTAACGCCTCCACGTGATGTGAACCAGCCAGGCCAATGGGGAAGATACCACAAGGTTCTGCTTGAATTAATGGATCATGTACATGGAAGAGTGGATGAAGGAGGAGACAACGATAATCGGTTTCCGAATGATACTCTATTCACGGATGAGCAGTTGAGTCTCCTAACACCAGATCATATCTACAAGTTTTTTGCAAAGAAAGTCTATGGTCGGGAGGATCCTGGTGTTGATGATAATCCTACTGAAGGGAGATCTTCATCCCTTGTTTACTACAAGAAGGCGTTATCCTATTTCATGCCAAAYAAGCTGCACAARTGGACTGTTATTGGCGGTGTTGGCAGTGGAAATCCTACTAAGTCCCAGCAAGTGAATGATTTGATATCTGCTGTTATCAAGAAGGAAACTAGAGGACTTGGACAAGCAAGCAAGATGGATCRACCTCTTACAAAGGATGAGTACTTGCAGACGCTTGAACTAATGGGGAACCACGGCCATCTCATCAAACGGCTCCGATACCTTGCAATGATTAAGTTCCAGTTCCATCTGATTGGTCGAAATGATGATACAGCACATGTTGGAAAGGACAGCTTGGAAAGGTCTGCTGAGTTTCCTAAGTTTCTTACAGCAAAGATGAAGTGGTCTAAGAATGTAAGGGAGGAACG